TTGTTGATGACCTTATAAGTAAAGTAGAACGCCTTTGCAAGGACCCATCTACTGATGAGGGAAAAATAGACGTGCTATTAGAAAATGCAACACCGAAAAGAAAGAGAACTCGTAACAAAGTACAATTCGCAGAAGCTTCTACGAGTAAAGCAGGTCCTTCCCGAGTGGAGGATAAGACTGAGCAGTGCGACAGCCGTGTTAATCATATTGCGAGTAATGGATTGGAAAGCTCTTCAAAGCAGTCCGACAGTGATGTGGACAGTGTTGATCCTGATATCAAGCATAGGATGGTGAGATTCAGATATATAAAACTTAGCTGAATTTTTACAATAGGATAGATCATGGTCCAAACTTGGTTGCGACCGCTTACTTAATTGGGCATTTTTAGCGACGTTTTTCTAACTCCCCAAAGTTTAGCATACGTTAAAAATGTTACACTCTCAAGCTTTTCAAATGACCTCGCCTTGTACGCAGTAGTTTGAGCTTTCAAATTGTCTACTTGTATGAATCAAACAGGCCTGAAATCAGGAGTATGTAAAATGGATCAACAGTATAGAAGAAACTAGAAGAAAAAAGGCTAGGGGATGTTCATCAAAGTAGAGGCTAAAAGGAAAAGTAGAGGCTAGGAAGATCGTGTGATAATGATAATGCTAAATTTTAGGAAACATCCTTGTTCTATGGTATCCCTCTGAAGGATCTGAATCCCATCAATGTGGAAATTGATGACATAGGCGTATATAGCCGTCGAAGTATGTACAAAATTCGAGACACTTATCCTGTGTCGATCAGAAGACAGGTACTGTTGGAGTTGGTTTTTCCGTTTTCACTCGTTTAATTCGTCTTTCTAGTTGTTTGCCATCCTTGAGCGCCTTCAGCTGAATTCGCGTGAATTCAATGAACGCGATAAAGAATGTGAAGCTATGAAAGAACGACGTCGAAATGAGATTCGTAATGCACGAATGCGCAAGAAGTTGAGGAAGTACATAGGGACAGAAGTCAAGATAAAGAAGGTGTGAAGTTTTGTGTAGTTCCATGGCATCGCCGCTTAACTAAAGCATATTTATACTTTTTAGGTAGAGATTCAAGGTCCAAATCCATTTGACACACAAGGTGGAATAACCGAAAAAGACTGGTTGCCAGTGGTCAGAGCTCAAGTAGATGACGATGATGACGACGATGAGCTTGGTTTACCTTATAGGGGTATGACCAGTTTCAGAAATAGAAAATATGCACATTCCAGATCCAGATATTACCCCAGATATTAGGTTGGCTAATAAATAAATTCGTTCTGGGCAAAATCTGTTTTCTGCTCCGAAACTACTACAACGACCGTCGATTCGTGGATATTGAAGATATATTGAAGCAGAAGAGGCACCTCTCTTCGGCTTAGGTAGATCTTCAATCT